CCTGGCCATACTACTAGTAACAAGAAGCTACTAGGAGCAAAGGGCATGGCTACTATGCCTGGTGTCCGTTCGGTGGGGAAGGAGTTGCGTGGTCATGCGCGGTCGGTTAGTGTATCCTCAAACTCCTGGCATTACTAATGGGAACAAGAAGCTACTAGGAACAAAGAGCATTTCTACTAGTAGCAAGAAGCTACTAGTAGCTCCTGGCATTGCTACTCGAGTTGATTCTTGGAAAAGAAATCCCTGCCTTCGCCACTGCCACGAACTCGGCAGGTCGTGAGCTTCCGGCAGCGGATGGTCAGGGCCTTGCCGAGCAACGACCCAGCAGCTGGGCGAAAATGGGACGATGCTGTGGTGCAAAAGCATGAACGTCAGGAACTGATTCTAGAACTGATTCGACTCAGTTCATCTCATGTCCAACTAGACTGACTAGAAAACCACTGACAACCACTGACTACCACTTGCCGGGGCATAACGGATCAACTCCGAAAGGATGGCAAGGCATGGTTTCAGCGGCAAGGCATGTCGTTCAGCGGTGAAGAGAGTAGTCGTTTAGGGTGCTGTACTTACTGTTTGACAGACTGGCGTGTTGCAGATGTATGAAAGAAAGTACAACGACATGTCCACCCAGTCGTTCGGTGGCACACAAGGAATGTACAAACTTCCTGTTTGGTTGATCAGCCATCCACAGAAGGCCAGAAGGCCCCGAACAATGAGAGTTCAATCCGACAGTGACTAAGTGCAGAAACGTCCACTGGAAAAGCACCTCTAGAACAACGTTGGCTCTGTTGGGCAAGGAGTATGGTCAGGCTCGTCAAGCTCAGGACCATGTGCTGCTGCACTTCTATCGGGCGGTACGGGCTGGGAACTCAGTTTTGAGATTACTGAAGACTGTTGGAAAGGCTAGGTCCTCAAAGTGGGCTTGAACTAGAGACAGTCTTGAATTGGCTTTTCCACCCCTGCGTTGTGTGATTAAGAGAGCCTAACGGAACGGTATCGAACTCGAGGTGACACTTGGCACATCCAACCCTGAACCCCAATCTTCCAGTGGGACCGACGTGCGCATCTCTCCAGGATGCCTTAGATGTTGCTGACACGCCCCAAGGTGGGGTCGAACGTACGGCTCACAGCGCCACACAGCGGTGTGATCGTGATATAGGTCTTGTAGTTTGGCTCGGAGACGTGTATATCGCTTGGACCTCTACCTGGTGCAAAGAAAGATGTCACGGCAAAGGCTACCTTCGACCTGAAACCCATTGCTTTATTGATGTGTTACACATGAGCGTGCAGAACACAGCGCCCCACCCAGTTGATTTTCCACAAGGCAGCTTAGCTTCGTTGATTTACACCGATCGTTAGACATGAAGGTGTGGTCTTCGATGGTGGAGACCACGTGGAACCAGCCGTTCTTTTGACCACCCTCGCGAATGCATGTGGCCATCGCCAGAGCCAGGCCATTGGTTATATAATGTTATATATATATATATATTGTATATACCCGATAGTATATTACCCTTCGGCCCTAGTTTCCCAAGGTGTGTTTTGCATGTTTGCACTACCGCCATGTCCAACGACACCAAACCTCGCCTCGAGGTTGCCTCAGAATCGGCCGAAATCCCCCTGTTCTCCCTATTCTTGAAACATTCACCGAAAAGACGCAGCGCGTACGGAGGGGCCTCGTCTTCGCCGAACTTCCATCGTCCATGACTCGCACATCAACTTGGCGATGCGCTTCCCAACAACTGGGGCTTCCCACAACTGGGAGAAGTCGGAGAAGTCGGACCTTTGAAGTTACCCAATTCACCCATCTGTGAGTTCTTGTTTCGGTCAAACAAGGCTACAGGGTCTCTTACTGGGTCTCTTCTATACCCAATCCAAAGACTAAAACTAAAATCACAGACCTAGAAACCCTAGTTCCTTACAATATAATAGTGGTATTTGGGATTCACTGGGATGGTGTTTGACTGGGATTCTGACTTTGCAACAACCAGTCAGACTTTCAGACACCTGCACAGCAGGAAGTCCCAGTCGAGCTCGACTTCGAGTGACCCGGGTGCGCAACCGTTGGGATTTGCAGCCTTCGAGTTGACAGAGTGCGTTCTCCTTAGGCTTTAGTGGCCACACAAAGAGCTTTCTCACCTTGTTCGGGGATCACAGGTTTGAAAGCTTTGATCCAATCATCAGCCGTCATTCACTGAACCGACTGAACAGGCGGAACAGGAGGCAGAACATCCGAAATCACCGAACATGACTTCCCTCCGATCACCGTTTGAATTCAAAAACAAAATTGCCCAACACTCTCAAGTTCTTCTTGCCTGTGCGAAAGGTCGTTCATCATGAGTTGTGGCTTCTCTAACCAAATAGTTTTACCCTATATATCTACAAACAGCAACTGGCTTGATCACCCAGTTATCAGTTCTACTTGTAACATGGTGCAGCTGATTTTCACTACATAATATATAATTGCATAGTGTAAGTAAATGGATTCGACTCTGGTCATAGCAATTTGCAGAGCTGCTTCCCAGTGGGATTTGCTACAACATTACTGTAAGTAGATGTATTCGACACTGGTCATAGCAATTTGCAGAACTGCTTCCCAGTGGGATTTGCTACTTGAACCTTGGATTCTCTATATTTCAATATGAGGAACTATTCTTAGCAGAACATCACAGGAGTTAACACTTTTCATCGGGCCAGCAAGCCGGGTGTTTTGACACACCCCCGGTTTCAAGAGTCAAGAAGCTTTTCAGGCCAACATGGCAGTGGCGGAGAAAGCTCCATGTGCTGCATATCTATATATAGATTATATATATACACATACAGATACAGTATTTAATTTGATGCGATTTAGATGCTTCAGATATAGGAATTCCATTATCCCTGCAATACGAAGGAATCAAGCCTATCCACGTTGAAGTTGCTAATTGCATAGGTTCATCTACTTCCGCTTCCCTCGAGTGTCAATCAGTTGGGCACACTCCAAGCAGGATGGTTTGAACGTTAACTCCCAAGGACGAAGATGGTTTGAACGATCCGACCGTTTTGGGTACACCAAGACCGACCCTAGAACCACCGTTCAGAGCGTTCAGAGGCGTCGCTGCGGAGCGGCGTGGCGCTCCTCGAGCGCGTGGCCTTGCGAGAGGCCGGAGAAGTGGGATGCGACGCTGGCGCTTCTCTAGGATATAGAGTTTGTTTCAGTTGATTGTTTTGACTTCAGCAGGTGCAAGCAGGCACTACAGGGGTCACTTCTCCTGGTGATTCAGGTGTCCATAAGGACATAGAGTAATGTAAACTGTAAACTTTAAACCTGAATGGTATTGATGGTTTCTGAAGAATGGACCATACAGAGTCATGTATTGATGGTCCATTCTTCAGAATGGATCGCTTGCAGGCTCGGTGTCCAGATTCGATCGATTGGGGGGCTTAACGGCTTAAGGTGATTTGTTTGATTGGGGCTGTCCATGTTGTTCCGTTGATATATATATATATATATATACATTGTATATGGTTTATAATGGTGCAAGCGCATATAATTTGAGCACCCAAGTTCATCCAATGGCCGGATAATTTTAAAGCAAGGAGGGGCTGTATGAGATGGAACTGAGTATGGTTCCCATTGATTTGGGCAAGTGGTTTGAGACCAGACCAATCTAAATGTGATCTCTTTGCAAAACAGATCAAAACACAATGATCACGACCATACTTGTATCATCTTGTATCTAACCACAATTCCCTGACATGACATTGCGCATGTCCCTCGTCATGAACGCAGGTGCGTGGCGCCTTTCGCCAAATGCAGAGGTGCTGTAGGGGTGGGAACACAAAGGACGAGTTTGGAAGCTCAACCCGACAACATTAACAACGGTGTCAGTCTGATGATCAGTGCCGATCAATTTCCTCCCCTCAAAGCGACAACCGTGAGTCAGCCCGGGTGTCAAAAGGCGGCGGCTCACTCTTTCATACTCTTTCAACAACATGAGGCTAACCCACAGCCTGTACATGGTTAATTCGCTGGGATTCACCATGACTTCCTATACTACCTGATGCTCCTGGGCGGAGCATCAATTGGAATGGGCCATCCGTCCGTGATCGAACGAACTCGGTCGCCGGTGGCCACCGGTGGTCGCACCGCGGCTGGAATTGAAACACGGGAAAACATTGCAATAGACTGGAATTCGTTCCAGTTTGGGGATGCATTGGCTGGTTCATACCTCTTTCATCTATGATGTGGTGGCAATTCCTCCTTTTTTCCAAGGTGGTGGCTTTTGTTCGATGCAACGAATGGAGTCCAACGAGCTGGCTGTTTGGTCGGTTTGTGGCCGCAGGAGCACGAGACGATTGCCTAGGCAGAGGGGGAGAGGGGTTGACGAGGTTTTTGATTGAAATCGATAACGACTTCGCGGAGTTTTTGCACTTCAATCATCTCGGACTTAAGGGTTGACATTTTTGACAGACCTCTTGCTGTCTTTAACATGCTTCAATCATGTTCAATCCACTTCACGGGTTTCGGTGATTCCGAAGTGATGTGCCATATGTTCCCCGCAATGTTCATGGTCCACTTTGTGGGAATGTGTTAGTCAATGTGACCACTTGCAAAAGACTGGTACAGGAAAGCCCAAACACTTGTAGCACAAGGAGAGTACTGGTTGCTCAAAGAACATGGAAACATAACAAATTGTATAAAATGATCAAAACACACATTTTTGCATGCTTCTTTCGCCTGCACAACACTGTCCCCTTACGACACCACCGACGCAGCGGCCCAGTACGAGCAACTCCACGTTATCCTCGGCGCGGCCCAGTACGCCTCGTTCTGAGGCACTGATGATGGGAAGCCCGGGGAAGTGCTAAGTGGGACGAAGTGGGTCGCTGTCCTGATCAGTCAGTATAGACCTGCACATTACTCCTGTTTGATTGACCAGACTTCGTACTTGTGAAACATTGTGAAACCCATGGCGCAAGACTGTATCCTGCTTTCAGAGGCTTGGTTGATACTCCAAAACGAGTTTCACTCAGGTTCTAGATACTTGAAACTCGGCATGTAAAACCTCGCCTGAGAGCGGATGGCGGATGGGACATCGATGAGCAGTTGGTGAAGTTAGATGGTGCGTGCCTTGATGTTTGAAAGTTTGGGAACCAGACCTTACATGGGAGGCTATCGCTCGTTTTCAGTCTCAAATACGAGGTTTCTTTGACTGATATACAGTATACAGTATGCTGTCGTGTTGCCTCTGGTGAATTGTGTGTTACCTTTACCTGTGTTTGCTGATGTTCAAGAAGTGTTTTTTTCCCCAAACAGTGTGGTCACACTAGGGGTCTTACGGTAAGTGTAAAGGGCCGGTGTTTAATCGAGGTGTTGCATCGGGGCGTTTGGCTAATTCGCTGCTATATACAGTGCATTCATGCCTCTCGAAATCCTCGAAGTGCACTTCGACTGCGCAGGCTCGCAAAATCTGGTGCGCTGGCGCGGGTGCTTGTCGCGACTGCGCTCTCGTTGTGGTGCCGTGCGCATTTTCGGACATGGCGGTCACTTTTCGTGGCAGGCGCATGGGAAACCTCGTGCTTTGGTGGTCCAAAGTCGACCTTTCGTGACAGGCGCAAGGGATCGGAGCGGCTTTACTTCAATGTGTAGACTTTGTGGCAGGCGCAGCACTTTGCATGGACGTGGTGGCAATCTTCGACGTGCTCTACTTTCGTGACAGGTGCAGTGAATCGTGACTTTTGGACATGTGGCTCGTTTTCAGAATTCGATGTAGGCGCAATACTTTAAGGCCTTGAAGAGCAGAGTTCGTGGCAGGCACAGTGCTTTGTGGACTTGAAGTGTAGACTTCGTGGCAGGTGCAGTACTTTGTGGGCCTTGAAGCCCTTTTCTTCTTTAGTCACTCACTTGTATGACACAGAACAGCGTGTTTTAATTATGTGGTGTGGCGTACGTGTTGTGTAGCATACTCTCACTCACTCTCACTCCAACTCTCACTGACTCTCACACTCACACTCACTCTCACTCTCACTCTCTCTCTCTCACCCTCTCACTCTCACTCTCTCACTCTCACTCAGTCTCACTCAAACCACTCAGTCTCACTCACACTCACACACGCTCACGCTCACACTCACACTCACTCTCACACTCACTCACTCCCACTCACGTTCACACTCACTCACACACACACACACACTCACTCACGCACTCACTCACGGTACTGCCAGCCAATGTCAAGCTAGACATGCAAGGGGCCCCCCCCCCCACATCATCACCATCACCGCCATCACCACGATCTCCACCTTCATCACCACCATGACCATCACCTCTCTGGACCCCAATGCGTCTAGGTCTCTAGATTTTCTGCTGCTACACCTCTAGACCTCACACACTGTTTGGGGTCTCTTGCCAGGATGGTGTGTGTTATTGGCTTACCAGAATGGGGCGGATAATTGCTTACGCTGCTGTTTTCAACTATGTTTGAAGATGTTTGAAGGTTCAAGCCTATGCTAAATTGAAATTGTTGTCCTAGTTTGTGTTTTTTGGGTTGTTGCTTGGTAAGGGTTGCCATGCGGGGTTTGGATGGTTCTTGGATCCCCGAGATCGCACGAACAGCGCAACGTCCGTTCCGAGCAGCGCAGGCGTGTGGCATCGTCGCCGGGCTGGTGTGTAGCCAAGCGCTGGCTGCTCAGGCGTGTGGAACGGTTGGATGGGTTCAAAGATTGGGCATCCACATATTTGCTCCTGTTGTGTCAGCATGACCAGGGGTGGACAAAATTTAGCCACCTGGGGATGGACCCAACCCCATATCGTGTAATAGGCCGAGTATCATTTAGGGGCATGATGTCCAAGTCATGCACTCAACCATTTAGTGTATGAGTAATGGTTGAGCGCTCGTATTGTTCATGGTCAATAGTAGGTCAGTAGGTGGTTTTCTGGTTGCATATTTTTTGGAGTTCACACTCTCAAACATCGCACGCCATCTAAGATGGCAGTTAATTAGTGTGAATGTGTTTTTTTCAAAAAAGCTGGATGCAAACCCCAAAATGTTTGTTTTCACCCAGCTGTTTTACAACTCCACACTCCCACGAAGACGGTTTGCTGGATACCTGGTCCCATTTGATACCTGCGTGAACTCCCAACAAGTGAGCGGTGACTTTCCCCTTGTTGGTGTTTGATGGGTGACTTACGTTTGCTGAAAAAAACCTGGCAGGTGCTGGACCGGCGTGCCAATCTGGCCCCACGTGCCTTCTACATGGCGTGGCTGTTGGAAAGAGCACCTTGCATGGACATGGTGGACCAAACAGTGGTTTGTGTGCTATGAGACATGCGTTGAGACATGTTCTGTTCGACGTTTCTTCATCTTCCTTCCGTGACTCTGTGACATGGATGAAATGAGAGATCTTTCTCCCTGCAACATGAGTCCATTGATGTCGCTCCAACAAGGCCAGGCGCCAGTGCCTGCTGAGTGTACTGAGCACCTGGCGCGCCAAGCAGCAGAGCACGTGGAGAGAGTCGCGGAGCGCTGCCCAGGTTGAGCATTCGTGCTTCGGGGGAGGGGATTCAGGCCCCAAAGGGCACAGTGAAGAGACATGGTGCCAGTGTGTTTTTTGGGGGGTTTGCGTTTGGTTTGCAGTCCTATGATTTAGGTGATTTGGTAGATTTGCAGGCTTTCATGACCTTTTGTTTGTATATGTTACATGTTTGTATCAGTTCGCAATCAGAACTTATGAACGAGCAGCACCCTGCGTGCAAGTGCAGAAAAAGAACGATGCAAGAGAAGGGGTTCTTTTGTGGAAGCCATGGTAAGTCTTGAAGGGAAGTTCTTGTGGACCAGGTCGTTAATGACCTTATAATTGTATATAATGATTGTACTTTCTAGATTCTAGATAAGGACTTTGTCTTTCTCAGAAGGTCTTGAAGCTCATTGAACTTCGGCTTGCTGGCATAGCCAGCAGAAATTCTTTCTGCGGGAAGTGTAGAGAAAGTGTAGAGAAGTTGCGATTAACTCCGACTCTTTGGCTCTTTGGCCTGTACTTTTGCTAAATTGCATGAAGTGTCGAATGCAACGTGATCTGGTAGGGTGTTGATGTTTCTGGCACATACTATATTTGGTCTATTTGGTCAGCACCCAAACTCTTTGAGCGAGAGACGGCCAGACTGTATGTCCACTGACAACACTGTTGCCGCTTCAGCGGAATTCAGATCCTTTCTGATGCTCCGATGCTCGGAACCGTGTGCGGCGTGCGTGCGTGCGGCGTTGGTGGCAGGGATCCTCGCCCACACGCCTGGGGCCCCGGCCGGGGCGATGGGAGCAGGGTGAAGGGTGACCTCATCAGACGTATTGAAGCACCCAAAGCAACAAGCCAGTTTTTGTAGCTAAAAGAGCTAGTGAAGCTAGTGTTCTATAGTGTTCTCATGCTTCGTGTTTGGGCCCCATAATGAGGACAAGATAACAAATTGTATATAATCATGTTGTTTCTATGTGTGTCCTATTATCATATGCGTATCTACCCTCCCTTGTGTGGACAAGACTCTTCCAAGCCATTGCTGCCCTGTGAATGGCAGACTCAACAATTGGGAGCTATCGTGGGCGCATGCACAAACACACAGAATGAACGATGATGAAGGACATGTAGGGCCAGGGTTAGCTACAGTAGAGGAAAGGTTGGCGAGTCCGCTCTTTTTGCCGCATGGCATGGACGTGCCAAAACACACACGTGTTGTATTCACAGGTAATCGCTTACGCATTGTAACAGACCTTCGACTTGGCGGAACATCTTAACAGTCGGTGCTTCCCATTCCAAGACAATATGTTGTTTGCTCCTGATGAGTTGCGAAATCACCATTCTCTTTTAGGAGTCCCTGGAGTTCCCCACTCAAAAAGAGGTCGAGGGTCCCGGAAAGGTATGAAGTTGGAATGGATTTAATACACAAGCGTGTTACACAGTGGTGCTTGTGTGTCAAATGCACTCCACCTAAAGTTTGTTGCTAGGAAGAACAGGACTGTGCGACCGGACTGCGCTCAGGAAGAGTGGGCCGAGCGCAGTCCTCTGAGGCAGACGACCTGCCAGACATTGCATACGGCTGGGGGGGAGAATTCATTTCGTGTTTCTCGTGAACACCAAAATTGCTGTACGGGGTGCACTCGAAACCATTGCGTGCAGAAAAGGTCTGTGCATACTAAAACGAGGCTTGTCGATACAACATTCAGTGGATGCAGGTCAAACCCTGCTACCTTACCCTAGTGACCAAAAAGGCTGCAAGCATCTCAGGGTGGTCACAAAACACCTGCATACCTCGATGCTGTTGAGCCCTGTAGGCCGGCCCCTAAGCTCGACGGAAGCCTTCTGACATCTTTTTACTATCAAGTCAAGATCCAGATTCTTTCCAAAAGCCCAAATGCAGGGGGTAGACCTTTGTAGGGGGCTTCAGGGGGGGGCTTAAGCGCCCTGGGTCCACACGCGGGGGAAGGCTTGCTTTGGGGGGGTACGCGGTACGCTTGGTGCGTTGATGTGCATGCGTTGGAGGGTTGTTTTTTTCCCCGCAGGGCCAAAGAGATGCAATTTCTACATGGTTTTGTTGGGAGACATGAGACATGCCTTGGATTGCAATATTGGTTTGAGTATGGTTGAGTAGTATTGGGCTGTGTGTATGTGTATATATATATATATATTGAATGTCTCGCCATAATTTGCGCTTCCCTCACCAAGGAGTTGAGTAGTCAACAGATCGTTTTGTTTCGTCACTTGGGTCATGATGTGTACCAAGAGATTCTTCAGGACCATTGAAACTGGTGCTAATTTTGCTCCTGTTACAAGCAGGGGAAGTTGGAATACTACACTCAGTCTAGTAAGTCTAGTAGGATTTGACAGATCTTTAGATATGTCCACAATTGTCCACATGTTCTTCCAAGGAAAGCCTTGCACAGAATTTCACGGGACCCAGCTGAGAGTCCTTTTACGGAGATGCAGATGACTCCAGCGACACCAGCTCCCCAAGTGTGTTTTTGCCGGACTTCACACATGTGACGACCGCCTGGAGCGTCCCACTTGGGTCAGTTTGTAAACTTAGGAGGAAACATCAGCCAACTGTTCTACCCTGGGAAAACCAATGAATACGAACCATACAACACCCAACAGATGAAGGATTCTCGGGGACATGGGGGTGCCGCCCCAAGGATGTATTGGCTTTTCCTTCTTGTGAACGCATCCCACTCATCCCAACTTGTACTCAAGGGGCAGCTGCTTCTCACCATCACTTTTGCCTTTTCGCCGGTGGACGGGACATCCACGCAGACCACTGGATCCTCACCACGTCGCGTCCTCCGGCGCGGGTGCATAGAGAGAGGACCATCACAGGGGATGCGGGTGGATGTGGGCATTGGTCACAGAGCTTTGGTATACTTTGGTGAGTGTTTGTTTCCTTTTGGTGCTGCTGCAAGTAAGTTTGTCGGTCATAGGAATGTATATATGTACGACACAGACAATTTCAATAATATAAACATTCAGAAAGCTGACATCACAAGAAATCACCAGATCACACAGTTCCATTGTCCAATCTGCTTGCCGTGTGTACGAGGATCCCGAGGGTGCTCAGTAGACGGAGCATGTCGAACCTGTGGAATCGATGGGTCGCCATGACTAGTTCTACATGGAACCATTGCGTCGTTGCGTTCTTGTTCCTAGTAGTAACAGGTGCATCGCTAGTAGTAACAAGTGCATCGCTACTAGTAACAAGAAGCTACTAATAGCAAACATTGTTCCTAGTAGTAAGGCCAGGAGCCCCTAGCGATGCCCGAAATGCTCCGTTCGTAGCGTCCTCTACCCCGCCCGATTTGGAAGCGATTTCATTGACATGGAAAAGAACATTTGGACGCGATGCCGATTGAATGTGAAAGACACGGAAGCTGCCGAGGTCCAAGACCCCCACGAAGACAGCGATCGTGTGAGCTGTGTGGCACCGGTTTCTTGCGCGGCGACCGAAGAAAGAAAGTGCGGCAGAATCTGTTGGATTGTCAAACTGCTGCAGGAAAAAATTAACCAGCAGGGGTTTTGTCCAACAAGATTCTCCAACTTTGAAGGAACTGGAGGGGACCATGGAGCTCAGTCCCTGGTTGGAAAACCTACCAGCCGAGGGTTGAGTTGGTCTAAAACCTATCACCCAACTGGAATCTTGTGTGACCCCCAGGGATAGAGAACACCCTTGTGCGGAACTTCATGTTCCATATCTCATATTTGACTCGTTTATCAACTTGCTTTCTTTGATTAAACTATACTATTGATGTTCACCCTAAGTGTTTCAAGACTTTCAAGATTCCTGCAAAGATCCATAAAGGTACTCTCTATGAAAATACAAAATGTCCCACTTTGGAGAAGAACCACCGTGTTTGAAGGAGTTATATAACTGTTTTGACCAAGCACATTGGATAGTTGCAAGTGTGGTGACGACCTCCCTACTGTATAAGCATAATTACTAGGTGTACAAGGTATAGGGTCTTGTCTGTGGATTGGTGGGGTTTTAGTCCAATGTGTTTTGTCCATGGATGTCCACATTGCCAATGCCCAAGTTGTGCCCATCCCCGTCTTGCAGAACACCCGAACGATGAGTTTGGTTGCTATTGCGCCAGGTGCAGAGCAAGGTAGCATGTGTGTGTGTTTCTGCCCTTACTCAAGGTAATTAGAGGGCACGCAATCCCAAGTGCGACTCAAACAGATGATGGTGACCAAAGAAGAAGAACGAGATGACGAAACAAAATACAAAACTGCAACCTCAAGTTTTCAAGTCTGCGTTTTACAACTGCTTGGGGCCTCACACGCACGAACCCATAATAATGTGAAGACAGATACAGTGAATATAACAACATAATATGCGAACATAGGGCACATTATCACATACACATAGCATAAATAGTTATGGTTATATATGTATATACATTATAGGCGTGTATGACGGCGTATGATGTATATATATATATTGTATTTGTGCATATATATATATAGTACTATGTATATTAAGATCATGATGAAACAACAGCAGAGATGCTCACACATCATCAGGCAAAATGCATTTTGTGACGTGAGGCCCAGCGAGTTTGTTTGAAAGGCCGCCCGCATGTCCAGTTCCGCCATGGAGGCCCTCAGCCCAAAGCTTCGATGGGCCGCTCAGACATTGAAGGTTGTTCACAAACACAACCAGCAAACAAAGGGTGTGCCATTTCAGAAGTTCTACTGGCAATTGCGGGTCAAATATGCAAACCGACCATGCCTATAAAAAGCTCGGATGTTGTTTTGTTAGTTGCAGCGAGTGGGCTCATTCAACTCCCTCAAGAACAGCTGTGTTATAACAAGAGCTCCAGTATGTCCACAAATAACAAGCTAAGGTTCTTGGATTCTTGGCCCATATTCTGTGACATGCATGGGAACAGTCAAGTCAAGAAGCCAAGAAAGATGCCTATGCGAAGGTGTACTTTCATCACCCCGATACATCAACGTTATAGCGACCACCATTTTGAAGCATTGCCTTTGTAGCAACCCGGGCCTCGTCTTGGTGGAAGTCCAACCATAGTTGCCTGATGCAAGGTAAATGTAGTGAATGTATGTGAATGTCTCCTTTGGTCAGGAGTTGAATATTGCTTTTTCTTGAAGTTGATCCCAGATTCCAAGGTGCATGGCTTCCAACCCACCTGTGTTGCGCTCTTGGCAGAGAAGGAGGTCGGTCCGTGTCAAACATTGGAGGATATTGGAGGTCTCACACGAACAGTTGCAAGAACTTGTGTTTCTTGGCGGTTTGGCGGTTTGTTGAATCTCATTTTGGAGAAGCAGGTGAGAGAACAAGAAGCTGGGCCCTACGCCTATCATTTGGACACTTAAACAGGCTTTTCCCTGAAAGCACCTGCGAAGTTCCCGAAAGAACAGCTACCGATCTTCCATTTCATTATTGTCCTTCTCATCACCATCATCATCAACATCAAGACTTTATGTAGATATTTGTTTTTTACACTATAAACAGCACGTGTATACTGTATACATGTCAGTGTGCACAGGTGTAGGTGTGCCTTAGTGTACATCTCGGTGTATACCTAGAGGTAGGTGTATAGAATAAGGCGGATAGATTTCGTGTAGGATGACGTAGGATGACCTAGGCGTATAGATGATAGATGGGCTTCTAAAATACTTCTGCAAAACCTCTTCAGAACTACTAGCATTACTAGGAGCAAGAAGCTGCCAGTAGCTCCTGGCCTTACTACTAGGAACAAGAAGCTGTTACTTTAGAACGTCTCCGACGAGGCGGTATAGACGAAGACCCAGCGTCCATCGTGAATTTTGGGTGCTTGTAGACAGGTCCAACAGGCGTGTTGAAAGCGGAGTTGCGCTGTGAAGGACTTTGAGAACGTTATATCTTGTCTTACTCCTAACTGTGCGTTTGGGGCTACACTGGAGTCGATCAGTTCACTGCATTTGGATGAGTTCGCCTTCGGAATGGACTTTGCGGTCTCGCCAGGTGGCGTTTGCCGCAGGGAAGCTGGTGGTGCAAATGGATGTGACCACCCAGCAGCAGAGGCAAGGACCTGCTCACATGAAGCCAAGAGCCAGCCCCGCTCCAAGCGCCTGCGAAGCGCCAGGTTCGTGCTCGGCCACAGCGCCAGTGTGACTTGCCTCGCCTTCTCAGAGCCACAGGCATTAGGCGCCTCTGGGCAACTGCTGCGGAGCCTCGGACTCGCCTTCTCAGAGGGTGCGGCAGAGGCATGGCAATGCCGGTCGGGTGACCCAATGATTTTGTGTGTGCTTTGACACTGGGCCCACCTGAGTTTTGCTACTGTAGGGATTGGTACAAAATATGTGTTGTCTTGTGCGTTTCTTTTGGAGGCGCAAGTAGTTATTAGTTAGCTTGACAGTCTTAAAGCACCTCGCAATGGTTCTGATATGTCCACGATCTTTAATCCCCACTTTCAGGAAAGCTGTTCCAGTCGAATATCGTATTAGAAGTTATTTATGTACAAACATCAGTGGCCTAGCTTTTGCAATCAATTTTGATCCAGACTACTCCCCAAAAGTATCATGTGTACTGTGCCGACTAGCTGAACAATTCTATAACAATTATATCAAGCTTTACTTTAATTAGGTTCAGGATGTTTGTTTCCAAAGTTGGAAACACACTCAAGTCCCTTTCTGAGATGGATAGTAAAGTATCGGTCTTGGATTCCTTGGCGACCTTCGTGGCTCCAAAAAGACCGATATAGAACGTTTGCCAGTTCAACTACAGCCTGCCCTGAATATTCTGTTGATTTCTCAAGTCGGATTGCACATGTGCAGAAGCATGGTAGGACTCAGCTGCTGCAGAGTCTGGCCGGTCGAGAGTAGACTGAATTCTTAGTCTCCGTCGCCGAGACAAACATTCCCGGCCGACCATGAATGGTGGCCTTCAGCCTTGGTTGATTTAATGAAGCTCCAGGCTCCAGGCTATTCAAAAGAGTGGTGATGCAACTGACATCAAATATACTTCTGAAACCATCCTTTTGAGTTGTGCTTCAATAGAACAGCAACCCGTGCCCTTTCCAAGGAAAGGTGCCAAATGGGCTGAAGTGTGCCTGGGCGATGGTGAAGTCCAACACGTCCGCCAGGGCTTGTTGGTTCATGGATGGATCATTTGGAAAAGCAACCTAGCGAATCTGGACCGGGAGATATTCTTGTTTTTACACGTAATTACAACTGACTATAACTACAACTAAAAGGGAGTCGGAATATGTCGGAATGGTATCTTATATACATGTTTTTGAGTAGAGTCCATTTGTCCAGTTTTTCTTTGAATGGTATTTGCAGGTGGTACTTGTACTGGTAAAACAAGGTGTGTTCCTCGAATGACATTGGTGCAGAAAAAGGCAGGTTTATGAAGGTTCTCCAACCAAGCCCCATGAAGAATGGACCACCATCATCCACCTAAGAATCTCATGTTCCTCGTGTAGAATCTCCATGGCTCTGGATTGAACACCGATCATCATCCCAAGCCTCTATGTGAAGCTTGGCCAAGGCTGCTTTGGGATTCAGAATCCTTGGAGATTTGCGCGTGCTTCTCCTTTCATCAGGTGGGTGGCTGGCTTTTTGTCCGACCGACTGGGCGAGGAAATGCCATGTTTGCTCGACTGGGAGGAAGTGTGTGCAGGCACATGAGATATCATGAGAGTAGTCATGAGAGTGTCCCTCAATCTCCAGAGATGTTGTTGCAAGAATCAGCAAGATATATTGTATAGTATATATATATATTGTGCATGTATGTATATATAATATATGAGTCTGTATGAGAAGACCTGTTGATCAGATGGTGCCCCATTTGCCCTGTTCGCTTTGGTACTTCGATCGACGCAAGGACAGGTCCTTTTGTGCGATTGTGCATAAGGCTCGGACATGGTGTTTACAAATTATTGAGAGCTCTCTAAGTTTCCCATATCCCTTTTGACCAAACCTGAAGGCCAAGTAACGGGATCTTCCGAAATGCCACCTAGGGGCGCTTAGGTTCTGAGCTACTTCTGCCTGTGTCAAGCACGTTTTGTTTGAGTGAAAAGTGAACTACTATTTCGCGTGGTTTCGGGGTACATACATGACATAGCACATTTCAAAAACATGGGTGAGGGCTCACCCAAAATCCATCCCTTTTGGATCTTTTGGCATGTTTCACTCCAAGCCGGATGTTGCAAGCTCAGGGAACCCAGTTTGACTGGCAAAATCGGAGCACCAATGAACACATGAGTTGGTGGTCGAAAAATCAGACCAGCCGACCACCAGGCACAACCAAGAGCTGTTTGTTGATTCAGGAAACCCCCTCTGAGTTCGTTTCCATGCTGTCTTACCTTTGCACCGGGCCAGGCCGACATTGCCACTGGGCGTGGAACGGGCCGAAGGGCCGATCTCGGGCCGAAGGGCCGAAGTGCAAGTGGAAATCCGAGGTCTTCACCTCCACCACATGAAATCTGTAAAGAAAGTGATGGTCATGGAAAATGGTGAGCCACCTGACGACTGGGACGACGTTTCCAACGGCTGCCCCGTGTTTTTGGGACTATATGGTCGCTGTTTGGGGGACGATG